GCTTGAACTCTGGGCCTGGGTGTGTGTGTGTGTGTGTGTGTGTGTGTGTGTGTGTGTGTGTGTGTGTGTGTGTGTGTGTTGTGGGGCTTGAACTCTGGGCCTTGGCACTGTCCCTGAGCTCTTCAGATCAAGGCTAGCACTCTACCACTTGAGCCACAGTGCCACTTCCGGTTTTCTGGTGGTTAATTGGAGGTAAGAGTCTCATGGACTTTTCTGCCCAGGCTGGTTTTGAACGAGGATCCTCAGATCTCGGCCTCCTGAGTGGCTAGGATTACAGGCATGAGTCACCAGTTCCAGGCCAAAGGACCTGTTTTACATGAAGGTTAGAATGGCTTGGATGTTACACTTTGCTTTTTTGTGTGTTGGACGTTACACTTTGCTTTTTTTGTGTTTGACTTTTTACACAAAGGAAGAGGCTGCTCTAGCAGTCATGCTTGATCAAAGCAGGCTCTTTTCTTGTCAAGTTGAGACACCAACTAACATTAAATCCGAACTCTTTTTAAATAAAGATCGTCAGAGCCTGGCCCTGGGGAGACTACTGCATGCGTGTTTACTGTTTTCACCCTCTGATCCTCAAACATTAAAATAAGTCTCAAGGGACTGCTACTGAAAGCAACTGACTGCAAATGACAAGCAAATCAGCTCAGCTATAAGCAGAAAATGCCAATGTGAGGGTAGGGAAAGGCTTTTCAGCCAGGGGGTGCCAGAGCCCTGTAGAAAAAGGCTGTAACATTGTGGAACCTTCAATCACATTGTGGTGGTTGTCAATGAGATACAGAATTCAAATTCCAAGTCACTTTCCTTTTCTCCAGTCGTGGGGCCTGAACTCTGGGCCTGGGCGCTGTCCCTCAGCTCTTCAGCTCAAGGCTAGCGCTCTACCACTTGAGACACAGCACCACTTCTGGCTTTTTCTACTTATGTGGTGCTGAGGACTCAAACCCAGGGCCTCATGCATGCAAGGCAAGCGCTCTACCACTGAGCCACCTTCCCAGCCCTCCAAGTCACTTTCCTTATAAAGGAAAGCTTTCAGGCTCACCCTCTCTCCATCCCAGCTGATTTAAGAGGTAGAGGTCATAAATGCGAGTATACAAAAAGCAAATATAAATAATATAAAGCCTATGTTAGAAAACGTGCATAAGAATTGAAATCTGGCAGTCTGCCAGGAAACTGGGAGCAGACTAGGAGGAAATTAAAAACACAAAGATCTGACAACTGTCAGTGTGGGTTCTGCCTCCCTGAGGAAGGCAGCCCAGATTTGAAGAATCTCACACTGAGCTTCTCAGTGAGAAATGCCATGCACACTTCCAGACGCTCAGAGCAAGAAGGCTCTGCTCACAACACTTCCCAGGCAAAGTTCATTTGGGGTCTCTCCAATCGCCCATCCTCATTCACTGAACACAAGGCTCTGCGGGCCTGAGATTTGAGTCCAGCCTGCAAAGGCTGGCGAGGAAAGCCCTGACATTATCCATTCAAGGCAGACAAGTACTTCTTACACCCCATGACAAAAAAAAAAAAGAAAAAAAAAGAACCAAAACAGAACTTTATAACAATATATTGGGTCATTAGGCTGCATTTCAATCCCCACTCCCCCAGAACGTGGTCTTAAGGGACAGTTAAGAGTATCTCTGCTAATAGCAAAGACATAGTTCAAGCATCCAAAAAAAAAAAATACAAAAGTTGATTTACAGCACCCTATAAAAGACTTTCCCCTCCTAAACCAAGTAAGATTCCCCACCCCGTCCCTACCCCACCCCACCCCCAGCCCTTTTGTTTAGAACTAGCTGGCAGTGACTTTTCCTGGCAAGTTACTCCTCCATCTGAGCCCAGGCTTCTTCTGCCTTCTCATAGTACTGGTTGGCTAGCCGGCCCTTCATGGCTTCCATTGCTGCCTCAGCCGCCTGAGTGTACAAGTCCCCTAAAAGACAGCAAAGTGGGGCACAGAGTTAAACCAACCACAGTATCCACCAGCCTACCTCCCTCCAAAGTCTTAAGTCCCAAACGAATCCCTGTGATCTCTCAAGGGGTGTGAATCTCCTGTCCTGTGATTAAACCTGGGCAATCAAAGTGCTCTTCCCATCTCTACTAGATCAGAGGGCTGGTGTATGCTTATGTATAACCAATCAGAGTAAAGTATCTCAATAACCACAGTGATTGGTTTAGAGGTGGGTGGGTGATTCAGTTTGAGGCAATGGGGATTAGGCGAAGGACTTTTTGTAGAATGAGTGTAGCAGAGTATAAGAAATAAAGATTCTGGCCGGGTGCTGGTGGCTCAGGAGGCTGAGATCTGAGGATCACAGTTCAAAGCCAGCCCGGGCAGGAAAGTAAGACTCTTATCTCCAATAAATCACTAGAAAACTGGAAGTGGTGCTGTGGCTCAAGGGATAGAGCGTTAGCCTTGAGCTGAAGAGCATAGGGACATTGCCCAAGCCCAGAGTTCAAGCCCCACAACCAAAAAAAAAACAAAAAAACAAAAAAACAAAAAACAACAAGAAATAAAGAATCTAGGGCTGGGAATGTGGTTTATAGGCAGAGTACTTGCCTAGCATGCATGAAGTCCTGGGTTCGATTCCTCAGCACCACATACATAGAAAAACCTGGAAGTGGCACTGTGGCTCAAGTGGTAGAGTGCTTGCCTTGTGCACAAAGCTCAGGGACAGTGCTCAGGCTCCGAGTTTAAGCCCCAAGACAGAAAAAAAAAAAAAAAAGAGAGATTCTGATCTCATGTTTTGCCACCAAATAAAAATGCTTAATACTTTCTGTTTTTAGAGCATTTTGGGTTTAGAAACTTCAAATAAGAAATTACAGCTAAGCCAGATGCTGATGGCTTATACTTATAATCCTAAAAGAGGCTACGATATAAAAATCAAGTTTGAGCTCTAATAGCAAAGTTTGTGACACATTTTTTTTTTTGGGGGGGGGCGGGGTCCAGTCGTGGGGCCTGAACTCTGGGCCAGGGCGCTATCCCTCAGCTCTTCAGCTCAAGGCTAGCGCTCTACCACTTGAGCCACACTGCCACTTCTGGCTTTTTTCTTTTTGCTTATGTGGTGCTGAGGAATCGAACCCAGGGCCTCAGGCATGCAAGGCAAACGCTCTACCACTGAGCCACCTTCCCAGCCCAGTTTGTGAGACTTTTACCTCCAATTAACCAACAGAAAGGTAGAAGTGGACAGGGGTGCAAATGGTGGAGCACTAGCCTTGAGTAAAGCTAAGCAACAGTACCCAGGGCCGGGCGCCGGTAGCTCTCGCCTGTAATCCTAGCTACTCAGGAGGCTGAGATCTGAGGATGACGGTTCAAAGCCAGCCTGGGCAGGAAAGTCCATGAGACTCTTATTTTCAATAAACCATTAGAAAACCAGAAGTGGCGCTGTGGCTCAAGCAGTAGAGCACTAGCCTTGAGCTGAAGAGCTCAGGGACAGCGCCCAAGCCCAGAGTTCAAGCCCCACGACTGACCAAAAAAAAAAAAAAAAGAAAGGAAGAAAGGAAGGAAGGAAGGAAGGAAGGAAGGAAGGAAGGAAGGAAGGAAGGAAGAAACAGTACCCAGGTCCAGAGTTCAAGCCCCATCACTGGCACACGCACGCACGCACGCACGCACGCACACACACTTTATGCTGGGCACTGTTATTCAGGAGGCTGAGAACTGAGGATCAAGGTTTAAACCCGGCTTGGGAAGGAAGGTTGTCAGTTGTGGGGCTTGAACCCCCATGAGGCTCTTGTTGTCAGTTAATCACCAAAAAGCTAGAAGGGGAGCATAAAAAAGCTCAGAGAAGGCACCCTGGCCCTGAGTCCAAACCCCAAGATGGGCAAAAAAGGGGGGGAGGGAAAGTAGGAGAAAACAAGGGAGGGGCTAAATCAACAAGAAATGTACTCATTACCTTACTTGTGTAACTGTCACCCTCTACTCCTTACAGTAAAATAAAATTGACTAAAAAAATTGATTTATTGGGCTGGGAAGATGGCTCAGTGGTAGAGCGCTTGCCTTGCATGCCTGAGGCCCTGGGTTCGATTCCTCAGCACCACATAAGCAAAAAGAAAAAAGCCGGAAGTGGCAATGTGGCTCAAGTGGTAGAGCGCTAGCCTTGAGCTGAAGAGCTGAGGGACAGCGCCCAGGCCCAGAGTTCAGGCCCCACGACCGGACCCAAAAAAAAAAAAAAAAAAAAAAAAAAAAATTGATTTATTGGGCTGGGAAGGTGGCCCAGTGGTAGAGCGCTTGCCTTGCATGCCAGAGGCCCTGGGTTCGATTCCTCAGCACCATATAAGCAAAAAGAAAAAAGCTGGAAGTGGCGCTGTGACTCAAGTGGTAGAGCGCTAGCCTTGAGCTGAAGAGCTGAGGGACAGCGCCCAGGCCCAGAGTTCAGGCCCCATGACCGGACCCAAAAAAAAAAAATTGATTTATTATTTGCTACTTTTTTATACAACTTTAATAAATCTCTTCAAATTAGTATCGTCCTATTCCTGTGTGGTTGGGTAAATCCACAGCTACAGAACCTGAAGAGCACTGAGTGTATAACCATTAAAATAAAATATTCAAATTAGTGGTGCATGACTGTAATCCTAGCTACTCAAGAGGCTAAGATCTGGTTGGCTAGCCAGGACTGTGGTTCAAAACTAGCCAGAGCAAGAAAGTCCATGAGACTCTTATCTCCAATTAACTTTCAAAAAAGACAAAAATGGAGCTGTGGCTCAAGTGGTAGAACACTAGCCTTGAGCAAAAACTCAGGGACAGTGACTAGGCCCTGAGTTCAAGCCCCAGGACCAGAACAATAAATAGACAAAATAACAAGATAAATAAATATGTTCAGCAAGGCTCTAGTGGCTCATTCCTATAATCTTAGCTATTCAGGAGGCTGAAATCTGAGGATTGCATGGTTTGAAGCCAGCCTAAGCATAAAAGTCCAAGAGAATCCATCTCCAGTTAACTCACAAAAATGCTAAGCTGGAGGCATGGCTCAAGTGGGATAGTACCAGCTTTAAGAAAAAAAATCAATCAATCAATCAATCAGGCGCTCACTTCGGCAGCACATATACTAAAACTGGAATGATACAGAGAAGATTAACATGGTCCCTGGGCAAGGGTAACGTGCAAATTTGTGAAGTGTTCTGTATTTTTCAAAGATATACTGAGAAGAGAGGTAAGTACGTTTTGAGGGGGAAAAAAAAATCAGTGTAAAAAAAAAATCAGGGCATGAGGCCCTAAATTCACACCTCAGTTCTGGCACAACCAATAAAACATTCATGTGCAATCTAGTTCCATAAAGACCCCTGTGGGTGAAGAGATAGCCTGGTCCTTGTGAGACTAGTGGGATGAGAATACAGTGCTCCTGTCTTACCTGACCTCTGCATGTCCTTCTCCAGCCGGAAGCCGCCGCAGTTCAGCATCTCAGCCTCCCTGGCCAGCAGCGCGTACCGGGGCTCGTGCTGCATCCCATCGTACTCCCCGCCCTCATCGCAGTCTGTCGTCTCCAGGGCAGTGCTGTACCAGTGCAGAGCCTCGGGCCAGTCTCGGCACCTTGTCAAGAGAAACGGAGGTGGGAAGGTAAAGAGGATCATCTAGCAGTGTGGCAAGATGGAGATCCCCTCTCTTCTTCACAACCTATAGTACCTAAGCCAGCACATCCAAGAGGGCAGTCAAGTAGCTGTCTTTAACAAAAGTAGCTGGGCACTGGTGGCTCATGCCTGTAATCCTAGCTAATCAAGCAGCTTAGATCTGAGGATCATTGTTTGAAGTCAGCTTGGGCAAAAGAGTCCAAGAGACTCCTATCTCTAATTAAATAGTAAAAATCTGGAAGTAGGAGTTTGGCTCAAGTGGCAGAATGCCAGCCTTAAGTGAAAAGGCCAAGCAAGGGCATGAGGCTCTGAGTTCAAGTCCCAGTGCTGGCATATACACACACAAATTTCTGTGGGACTGTAAGGAGATCCTGAAATAAAGCCACACCTGTAATCCTAGCTACTCAGGAGGCTAAGATCTGAGAACTGAAGTTCAAAGCCTGGGCAGACAAATTCCAGAGCCTTAAAGAAGATTTTATTTGGTGCCCATCCTAGGGCTTGAACTCAGGGCCTAGGTACTGTCCCTAAGCTTTTGTGCTCAAGGCCAGCACTCTACCACTTAAGCCACAGCTCCACTTCCAGCTTTTTGTTGTTTAATTGGAGATAAGAATCTCATGGACTCTTCTGCCCAGGCTGGCTTCAAAACCACAATCCTCAGATCTCAGACTCCTAAGTAGCTAAGTTGAAAGGAGCCACCAGCACCTTGACCAGAGACTCTTATCTCCAACTAATCAGCAAAAAAAGCTTGAACTGGAAGCATGGCTCAAGTGGTAGAACACCAGCCATGAGTTAAAAAAAATAAAGCGTGATATCCTGAGTTCCTGACCCAGTACTGGCACAAAAAAATAAGCTAAAAAAAAAATCTGCCTTGGGGCTGGGAAGGTGGCTCAGTGGTAGAGTTGCTTGCCTCACATGCATGAGGCTCTGGGTTCGATTCCTCACCACCACATAAATAAAAAAAAAAGCCAGAAGTGGCACTGTGGCTCAAGTGGTAGAGTGCTAGCCTTGAGCTGAAGAGCTGAGGGACAGTGCCCAGGCCCGGAGTTCAAGTCCCACGACTGACCCCCTCCCCCCCAAAAAAAATCTGCCTTATCTAAGTCATTAAGATGCACTGGTTCATTAATTCAAAGAACCACTGACCCTGGGCTTCATTGGCTTACACCTATAATCCTAATTACTCAAGAGGCTGAGATCTAGGGATCATGATTCAAAGCTAGCCTGGGCAGCAAAGTCCCTGTTAGGCTCTTATCTCCAATTAACTGCTAAAAAAAAAAAAAAAAAGCCAGAAGTGGAGCTGTAGCTCAAAATAGTAGACCACTAGCCTTGAGCACAAAAGCTAAGGGACAGTGTCTAGGCCGAGTTCAAGCTCTAGTAGTATACCCAAAACAAAAACAAAAACAAACAAACAAAACTGAGCTGAGCCCTACGCTATATCTACAAGCCAGGTGACGAAGAGGTAGAGATCTGAAGTCTGCCCTCAGTGAAATCTGCTCAATTACAGAAGTGCTGTCCAAACTGCCCTGCTGTTGGCTATTGGCAGTAGCTATTTAACCAATGGGGAAGAGTGTGACAGGAAATGCAGCAGGCTATGTCATCTACCTAGTTTTTGACCCAGAAGCAGATATGACAGAACCACAGACCTGACATTCCCTTTGAACCCATTAAGAAAGATGAACTCTTGACAGTAAAGAGGGGGGACCAGCTCCCAACCTTTATTTAAACAAACATGTCCTCCTCACACGCTCTTCCCAGAAGTCATGCAGTCTCCTGAGAAGCCAAGTTTAAACACAAGCCCCTGGAGAGTGAACAATGGGGCCCATTGTGAGTTCCATTCCCACAATTACCCTGGGTCCCTCTACTTCTGGGCCATGCTGAAGAGTTGAGATGAAGCTGAGCCCTGTTGGCTCTGCACATGGTAAAATCCAGCCTGGGCTTCTCGGCCTGAAGGGCAAATGGCAAGTATTGCGCCTGCACACCAGAGCCTTGCAGAGGCTCGAAGCCACAAGGGAAAACCCAGCCTGGATCCTGCCCTCTGAAAAGTGAAAAACAAAGCTAAAAGCTAAAAGCTGGGCACTGACAGCTCACACCTGTAATCCTATCAGGAGGCTGAGATATAAGAGTTATGGTTTGAAGCCAGATGGGGCAGTAAAATGTATGAAACTCTTATCTCCAATTAACCAGCAAAAAGTTGGAAGTAGACGTGTGGCCCAAGGGGTAGAGAGGCAGCCTTGAGTAAAAAAGCTCAGAACAGTCCCCAGGCTCTGAGTTCACACCTAGTACAGGTACATGCACACACACAGAGTGAAAACCAAAAATAGGAAGAGTCTATTTATTAAAACTGCCCCTACTCCTATGACAATAGACACAAATCATTCTGAACCTGGGGCATCAGGTTTTTTCTCATGCTGGCTACAATGGCTGCCATCTGCTTTATGTGCCAAGTGCTGGGAGAATTATGGGCCCGTGGTCAGTGGGTAAGTATTGGGCCCAGGTCTGACCTGACTTAAAGGTGAAGAAGCCACCTGCAGCCCCGTTCCCAGAGGCCCCAGCTGAGCGACAGCCTCAGTACCTGTCTGGGCTGAGATTCTGGCCAGTGTCAAAAGCTCGTGCCACTATGATCATGGACTGTCTGTCACCAGCTTCAGCAGCCTTCAGTAAGTAATCAAATCCTTTTATTTTATTTTCTTCTGTCTCCTGTCAATACAAACAAAGGAGGAGGGGCATGAGGCTTGAATATGAAGATCTCATTCATCCATCATCTTCTGATTTCTTTAATTATTCTGAGAGCTCTGGGCTTGCAGCCACTGGAGAATTTCATGCCAGTGGTTTTTCGATTGATGGAATTATGCAACCATCCTCATAATCAGTTGCAGAATATTTTCATCAACCCAGGAAGAAATACCATACCTTTTTAACTGTCTCTCCCTTTGATGGTTCTCACCCTTCTGCCCAACCCTAGGCAATAATTAGTCTATTTTATGTCTCCATGGTTTCCATATAAATGGAGTCATACAACTGAGCATGGTGATACACACTTGCAATCCCAGCACTGCGGAGGCTGAGACAGAAGAATCATGAGTTGGAGGCTAGTTTGGGTTACATGCCAAGACCCTGTCTCAAAAAAAAAAAAAAAAAAAAAATCAATAAAAGGCCAGATGCTAGTGGCTCACGCCTGTAATCCTAGCTACTCAGGAGGTTGAGATCTGAGGATTGTAGTTCAAAGCCAACCCGGGCAGAAAAGTCCATGAGACTCATCTCCAATAAACCACCTACAAACGAAGTGAAGCCGTAGCTCCACTAGCCTTGAGCAAAAAAGCTCAGGGATATAGTGCCCAGGGCCCTGAATTTAAGACCCACAACTGACAAAAAAAAAAAAAAAAAAAAATCAGTAAATATCTAGAATCATATATGTCTTTTTATATTTACCTCCCTCCCCCCCCCCCCCCCCCCCCCCCCGTGCCAATACTGAGGTTTGAACTCTGGGCCTTTCACTCTTGCTTATCTTTTTCACTCAAGGCTGGTATTCTACCACTTGAGCCACTGTGTTTTTCTATTCATACACTGGGAGGGAACTGGATTGTTCCCATATTTTGGCTATATATTTTTCCTTTTGGTGCTGGTACTAGGGCTTGAACTCAAGGTTTCAGTATCTTTTTGTTGTTGTTGTTGTGTGCCGGTCCTGAGCTTGAACTCAGGGCCTGGGTGCTATCCAAACTTCTTTTGCTCAAGGCCAGCACTCTACCACTTGAGCCACAGCTCCACTTATGGCTTTTTCTGAGTAGTTTATTGAAGGTAAGCATATATCACCACTTTGCTGTCTGGTTTGGCTTTGAACCATGATTATCAGCTGCCGGAGTAGCTAGGATTACAGACGTGAGCCATCCGCACCTGCTAGCTAGCCTCAGTACTCTCTGCTTTTTTGCTCATTACTGGTGTTCTACCATGTGAACCACACCTCCAGTTCTAGTTTTTTGCTAGTTAATTAGAGATAAGCGTCTCATAGTTTTGTCTACTTGAGTGGGCTTCAAATTTCCTCCTCAGGTCTTAGCCTTCTGAATAGCTAGGATTAACGATGTGAGTTGTGTGAGCCTTGCTATTTGAATAGTGCTGCTATGAACATTCATGGGATAGATATTGTAAGGATTTTTATTCTTGAGTAAGGTGCTACTAGAGTGAACTTACAGGGTCAATGTAGCTCTAGGTTTTGCATTTTGAGAAGTTACCCAACTTCTTTTATTTTTTGGTGCCTATCCAGGACCTGGGTACCGTTCATTATCTTTTTCCCTCATGGCTGGCACTCTACCACTTGAGCCACACCTCCACTTTTGACTTTTGGTGGATAATTGGAGATAAGGAGTTTCATGGACTTTCCTGCCCAGGCTGACTTAGAACCATGATTCTCAAATCTCAGCCTCCTGAGGATGCTAGGCATGAGCCATTGGTGCCTGGTTCTATACAACTGTTTCATAGTACTAGGATTTTTTTTTTTTTTGTCGGCCGTGGGGCTTGAACTCTGGGCCTGGGCGCTGTCCCTCAGCTCTTCAGCTCAAGGCGAGCGCTCTA